TTATAATGCAGCGGCTTGTGTAAAGCTAATTCTTTCGAACAAAATGCCAGTACCAGGCCCTATTTGATACTGGCACCAGACAAATTGTTGTGCATTGTGTCATTTTCTCATTATATGTGTTTAACAGCTTGTAAATTAAAATGCTTGTTTTAGCCAAACACAGTCTTAAATGAAAGAGACTAAACTTTTACCAGAAAATGCCTTTGGACAGCATATCTTATCCATTTGCATCAGTGGGCCAATGAGGTGTTGTTCATCTATTGCTATAAATTTTAAACATAAACACGTCAAATATTACAAAGAAAAATCTTTATTGGTTAAAATAGCTTTTTTCACAGATTTGATTAATGACTTTTTTTGCTATCATGCACTTGCACACTGTACAACAGTGGATTCCCATGGAATGACATTTTCTCAACTTTCTTCTTCAAACAATTGTACGTACAGCCTTGTTTGCCTTATTCCGTGGATGCTAGATCTCGCCTTGGTCCTTCAAGATCCCCAAAAAAACAAAAAACCAAGGGTTCACATGAAAACGCTCTTTTAGTGTAGTGATTTTCTGCTTGGTGTGTGGTAAAATAAATTAGTTCCATGCATAACAGAGAGAACACTTGCCACTTATGCATCATACAACATCCTTGCCAAAATCTCAGTGCAAACACCATTGTAGCTGAAAAATCCATGAACCTCCAATGTTCCAGTACCGATATGCTATGATGTAAAGTTTGCGAATCAACACTAAAATGTCCAAATTGAAATTTCATCTACTAGTGTTTGGTAGTTGTGGAGCTACATTGGCATATTTCTTTTAATTTAATTGACTAAATATTAGTCCAGCTCTAAAAAGCAGTCTTCTAAAAACTCACATTTGTGACAACAGTTAGCTTGATTTACAGTACTAAAACTCTATCTCTCAAGCAGCAAGATTACATTGACTTAAAAAAAGAAAGAAATCACTCACTCCAAGGGTAAAACACAAAAAAAAACAACTAACTTGTACTGCCCTAGTCTCCCATTCAAAAATACATAAAATGAAAAAAATGACATACTTAAAAAAAGAGGGAAAATAAAGCCTTTCTCTCAAAGAGTTAAAAAAAATCAGATACTTCTGCCCACACCAATATAACAAACACGAAATAATCAAACTAACACCACATATATTCAAAGTTTATCAGGAAAATGACAGTCCACTACGATTAATTAAAGCAACCTCTTGTTAATAGACGTATTGCTGAAATTTGGATAATTGTTAATAAATATGCAATTGGCTCTGGTGACTTATTATTGTACTTACTTCACATGAAGTATTACTCATATGGATGTGACCTTGAGTAGTAGTCAGTCATCTAGTGGATAAATAAATATTCATTCATGAACTTCAGCACTAGGAACCTCCCAACCCTGTTTGACAAGATGGTGGAGAGGTCATAGAGATGAGGAACATAATGTGTAATAATGGGGTAAAATGCATTACTGAAATACTGGAATGGGGTCTTTTGAAATTGAATGTCATTGTGTGGCTGTTGAAAAATCAATCACATCACCAAAACATATGCTTCCGGGGGAAAAAAATGCGGGACTGTCAGGAAGTGAAGCGAACACCCTCATGGCCTGTCACCCCGCTAGCTGTTCAGCTTGTTAAGGCAATGTTAGCGCCGCTAGTTTCAACATCATCATTAATTAACAAATAGTACCTCCAGCAGTGTGAGTAATTTTATGTCTCTTTATCAACTAGAGTCTAGAGTGAGGACAACTGCGACTGGACAGTTGCCTGTCCCCTCAGCGCTCTGTGTGTTCTCTAGCTAGACGTCCAGGTCGTCCGGCCTTATTCGACTGCTCATCCGGCTGCTAGCTCGGCTGCATGGCCGCGGATCCATCAGGGCCAGGGGCTGCAGCTCCTGGCCCGGTGTTATTTTCTTGTGCTCCTGCGTGTCGTCGGGGTAGTCGAAGGCTTGGGCGTGCGAGTTGGAGATGGTGCTACCGTTCTGGCCAAGTCGGTTCTGCTCGGTGCTGTAGTTGGCCCAGTTTTGCTCATTGGCCTGCTTGTTGTAGTTGCGGCAGGAGTTGGTCCTTTCGCCTGTGGCTAACTTGTAGCCTGGGGGTGACATGGGAGACAGTGGAGCCGTGGGCGAGGAACATCCGTTGTAGTAGGCGTACTTGGTGGTGGACAACTCCTTTGGCGTGGGGCTCAGGGTACCACCAGACGGGTACTGGTTCTGTTTGCTCTTGACGCGGTCCTTGATCCGCTTGAAGAACACGTAGAAGAGCTCAATGATGTTGAGAAGCAGGGAGACCAGCGAGACCACCAGCATGAAGATAATGAAGACAGTCTTCTCGGTGGGCCTAGACAAGAAGCAGTCCACCCTGTGAGGACATGGGGAACGCTCACAAGCGTACACAGCATTCAGGCTGAAGCCATAGATATACCATTGGGTCACCAAGAAGACAACCTCAAAGAGAGACTTGAAGAAGATACTAACAATGTAGGTGCGCAACAGCGCCCCCTTCATCTTAACCTTGCCGTGCTCCTCCAGGCCATGCTTGAGCTTCTTCAGCTCAATCTTCTTCAGAGGAATGTCCACGTCCCCGCCGTCGTTCTGCACGGCCTTCAGCTCCTCCTCCTTGCGGTTGAGCTTCTGCTCCTTGCGCATCAAGTAGAATATGTGCGCCAGGTAGAGGAGCGTGGGAGTGGACACGAAGATGATCTGAAGCACCCAGAAGCGCACGTGCGAGATGGGGAAAGACTTGTCATAGCACACATTCTCACAACCGGGCTGTTGGGTGTTGCACTTGAAAGCTGACTGTTCGTCACCCCAGGCGGACTCCACAGCTGTGCCCAGAACTAGGATCCGGAAGATAAAGAGAACAGAGAGCCAGACCTTCCCTCCGGCTGTGGAGTACGCCTGCACCTTGTCAAGGAGCCTTCCCAAAGCACTCCAGTCACCCATATTGGGGGAGTTCTTGCTGCAAAAAAAGTGTTAAGATTAATTATTATAGACGTAAAAAGCATTTTTTTCCATGATAGAAGTCCAGATCTCCAGCATTTGCAGTTTTATATGAAAACAGGGAAAATCCCTCTTCCTGGCTCTCATCTAATGATGAAAAACACTGTGAAAGTGATATCCTATAGGGGTATTCAAAGCATAAACAGGCTCAGACCTGGACTAGCACAGTATTTCTACACTCTTAGGGTTCTATATAAGACCAAAACAATTTTTTTTTTTTGATTTGCTACAAAAGGGAAACCTTTTTTACCCTAAATAAATATACACAACACCTTCCCTATCATAAAAAAGAAACATTTAACCAGGCGAGGAACACTTTAAACATCCAGATGGTTCTTTGAGTTCTACACATAACCTTTACCAAATAACCTATGACCCCCTCAACCCTTAACACTGTATAAGTCTTAATTTCTTTGTGTAATTACAGATAAAATGCATATAACAATGTGCTTTTTATCACTATCACCATCACTTTCATCACTCATCACTATGAAAAAAGCGGGATAGCTGCGCAGAAAGAACGACACGAGTTGACTTGCTGCTATTAAGTCCCCGTTTAATTCTCTTTTATGTTTTTATTCCACTTCATTCTACACTGTACCTTCTTTTAATTGTTTTCTAAGATTTTGATCTTTGTTTGTATTTATTGATATTACTTGCATGAAATGTACTATATAGATAACCTTGCCTTGCCTATTAGGTTTCTAATGAGCACCTCATAAAAAGGCAATCCTGGCTGCTTAATATTACTTAACATATATGCATTATAGTCAAATATTATATATTATAAGTAAAAAAAAAAACTTCCACGTCCCAAGTAACATGTATTTATGCCTCTTTGATGTGCAGAGGGCAAACGCCCTGAGGGATGAGACAGTGGGCTTTTGATGAACAGATGAGATGCTACGTGCTTCTCTTCTTCTCTGATGCTCTCTAAACCGTTACCCATTCAGGAACATACTTTAGGGCCCAAATGCTATTTCACCTCCTCAGAAAACAGGAAAACCACCAGAGAAGCAGTTTAGCCAAACAGTTTCTCAGTAGTGCTGGGATTTTAACAGAAGTTCTCCAGAAAGAAGTGAGCCAGGAGCCGAGAACATGCGACCACTGAGACTTAGAGCCTTGCTTCAAGACTTTCAAGGTCTAAATGAAGCTGTCTGCGGACTGAAAAGCTGATGTTATGCTAGGATAACAAGAGACTTCATTACGTTTTTGGTCGTTCATGAGGAGCTTTACCTTGTAAAATAGTCTCAGTCATTCCCAAATTACGCTTTCCGTTCAGTTTTGAAATGTTTATAGCCGTTATTATAACTCTTATAACCCAGCAAGAGAGGAAAGTCGTGAATGAAATCGTAAAGCAGCCACTTATTCTAAGTTCCCGTTCCACCTTAAATGGTGCAGCAGTTACATTCGGGCGCGTCAGGCAGCCTCAGGCACCAGAATGTAACTGCTGCCCCATTTAAGGTGGAACGGGAAATTCGAATAAGTAGCCAAATTCAGCTTCGTGTGAGCCCATTCCTGAGGCAAATATGAATGTAGCCCACTCTGATGGGTTTAAAACTCTTGAAGGATGTCCTCAGCATGTCTGTAGAAAGACCTCTAGAGTAGTTTTGCTATGCTGCCCGTTATGACTCGTGTTAAGAAAAAACGGTTAAAAGTTGGTGAGGGGAAAAAAAGTTAGAAAAGTTTTCTTCACGTACCTGGAGAGACACCGAGAAGCAAGAAGAGAGCCCTAAGGGACTTTCTCCGTCACTTCTTGAGAGCTCACACCGCTTTCTCCAAAAATCCTGCTCGGGCACCACAGAGGAACTGAGGCACACTTGTCAAACTTTCCTCGCTTATAAGAGACTTTGGTGCGGTGTTGGGAAGGGAAAAAAAAGGAAAAGTGAGCAAGCACCCAAAGTTGGAGAAGTCATGTGACCCCCACGTCAGTGAGTTCTTTGGATCTTCTTGCACTGACTTTATGAAAGTTTTCTCGTGGTTCTCAAACAAACATGTCAAGCCTACCACACTTGTTCCTGATTTATGTGTCATGATTATTTATTCTTCTTCATTTTCAGTGTTTATTCTCAGTGAAGGAAAATCACAGTATAAATACAAGTTTAAACGCTCTGATCATCATATAATGCCACATTGCTGCTATGTCAGTTTCCCATTTTTCCCCATTTCAAAGAGTTGATTATTTTTACACACGTTTATATTTAATTATATTTCACATTTAAAACACTTTATTGTACATGAATTATGTTCTAGACATATAGACACTTTTGGACACATTATAATAAGAAAGGTATCTAAATTGCAGCAAAAAAAAAGAGAAAGTTCTTGATTTTTAAAGCCTCTGAATAAAACAATTTGTTCAAAACTGACATTCATGCATGATTAGACTGCACTAGTAAGGAGTTCATCACACTCAACAGGTGCATTGCGCCATCTGGTGTAAGACTCCATCAACTATCCCTGCAGAAAGATTGAGGACTGTAGTATGGCACTTTCACAGTTCAGACTTCTCTTCAGCAGGGCTGCTGCTCCTGTGGGCCCATCCGGTCTCCAGGCCAGTGTTCATGCGGTTCTGCTTCAGGCTCTCTGCAGCGTCCAGGCTTAATGAAAACGCAGGAGGTGGCATGTAGTTGGCTTTTGGATTGTGGTGCACCATACCGTCATGTTTACGTCGCTTGGTTATCCTCTTGCAAAGCAAATAGCACACCTCTAGGATGTTCAACGCCAGAGATACACATGCGACCACCAGCATGAAGATAATGAAGATGGTCTTCTCTGTGGGCCTGGACATGAAGCACTCCGTCTTCATTCGGCAGGGTGCTTTTTCACAATGGAATTCGGGAACCATCACAAACCCATACAGATAATACTGTCCAACGATGAAAGCCAGCTCCAGGATGATTTTGAAAAACAGTTGAGCCAGGTAGCTACCCAAAAGCCTCCCCTTGATTTGGACTTTGCCATTTTCATCTGTGTATTTTGGTGACTTCGCAAACAGGTTGTTCCTCTGCATCTCCCTGAGCTTGTTCTCTTGGTGAATGACGTGGATGGCGTGGCCCAGGTACAACAGAGTTGGAGTGGACACAAAGATGATCTGCATGACCCAGAAGCGAACGTGGGAGATGGGAAACTTCCAGTCATAGCACACGTTCTCGCAACCAGGCGTGTTGGTGTTACACACCATGTCTGACCGCTCGTCCCCCCACACGTTCTCAACTCCTGCTCCCAGGACGAGGATCCTGAAGATGAAGAGGACGCTCATCCATATCTTGCCAATCACGGTAGAGTGGGACTGCACCTTGTCCAGTAAAGTTGAGAGAAACCCCCAATCTCCCATTCTAGTTGGTGTTCAGTGTTAATCTAGAAGAAGAAAAAAATGATTATACTGAATTGTCTAGTAGAGATATCTGATTTCACCACCAGTCACAACTAAAGACAAATGATATATAGAGAAAAGTATGTCCATTGCTCTGAATGGAACCCACATTTATGTATTCTTTACATTGTGTATTTGCTAAATGATGATTTTTTTTTTAACCCAGGCCAAAATCTGTTGGCCACACCATCATAAATACCCTCCCACCCCCTCACCGGCCCCTTCAGGGACAACTCTTTTCCTTCATATTATTGTTTTTGACATTATTTTTCGATTCACAGTTCATAATGGTGCAGATATCATATGATGCATTACAAGTAGTGGTGAAGCTGTGTACCCTATTGACCCATACGCCCCCCTACAACCTAGCCAAGTGAAGAAATGATGAGTGGTAAAGAGACAGGGAGAGGAAAAAAAAGAAGGAGACAAACAACCACAACAACAACAACAAGACACAGCGGGCAGATGAGCTAGACAGACAAACTGGGCAGATACAACAAACAGAAAGATGAACACATATAACAGGTTTGCTGTGAGTGGGACAAAGTGTTGATTTTTATCTTACCCCCTTAAAATCCCAGGCTGACTACATACTAAGTCTTATTATACAGTAACTACACAGACTTCAGTGCAAACTGGCTGAGCTATTCTTAGAAGTGTGTAATAAAACTTTGGGCCTGCCGGTGGGGTTAAGTTTTAAAGGGTTAAGTTTTGTAGATTGCAAACTTAGGAGCCCTAGGTCTCAAGTAATGTTTGTTTATAACAGATTATATCCTCCTGACGGTAGTGTGAGGTCAAACAAGGGCCAAGAAAGTGAAACTAATCATTTTGAGGAAATCATATCACCATGGTAGGTGACCACTAAAGAAGGTCGGTGTAACAGGCTGGGTTGTTACTTCCCCTGTCTGCCAGCAGAGGTCACACTCCCCTCACTATTGATGGATTTTTCTCTTCTCTAGATGTGTTAATCACTTATTAACCCTTTCAATTATTATTATGTTTTTAAATGCAATTGCACAATTACAGAATTACATAGTTAAAAAATTACTTTTACATTTGATTTACATTCCGCATAAACATATTTAAGTTGACTCCTATTACTGTTTTCACCATCTGTCAATTGCCATGAAAACAGAACATGGTATGTGAAGAGTTTACGGTACAAGCAAAGTATTTAAACAGCCAACTTTCTCAGTTTAGCTTTAACCATTTAAAATCCCAGACTTATTATATACAAATGCTTATTATTCAGTAACTACATGGACTTCAGTGCAAACTGGCTGACCTATTCTCAGGTTATGGAAGAGTGTAATAAAACTTTTGGCAGGCATTGGTCATTTAAGGGGTTATGGTCAAAACCATTAGAGCTTCACACCAAACAAGTCAAACAGTCCATAAACACAATCCAGGAATTAATAACGTAATCCTTAAGCAAGGGGTCATAACCAGAGAATAACATACAAGGAATACACTGCTCAGAATCGCTAGGAAAAACCTTAGCAAGACTTCACACTGAGCTTAGTTCAGGGTACTACTTAAGTAGTCCACTGAAATGGCTTCTTATTTGAGACAGGTGTCAGCATGATTTAGCATTCAGGTGAGTGAGACCTCTGTTGGCGTGGAGGGAAACTGGCAACAGATATGACAATCTGCAGGACCCTGTTGTACTTTTGAGGGTACATTTACATTGTTTGTATGTGGGGGGACTAAAATTTACCCAAACAGTACACATTTCTCTGACAGCACTGAGGATTGTAGGCTCTAAACACATCACATATACCCAATATTAAGTCCTTTAAGTTGTAGTAAGTTATAATCTGTCAGCTATCAAATTTGTTGGAAGTGTAAGAAACATGCAGGTGCACTTATTCATTTGTAAAGTGGGCACTGTATTTTCCAAACCCTGAATGGTTTGGTATGGTATGGTAACCATACTGATGCAGCACCTGCGATCACTATCTGAATTATACAGGGGCTGTAGTTTTGTATGGTGGCTAAAGATCAGTGTGTTTGTCACACTGACATAAATCGTCATCTCAAAAAGTGCTAATGGAAGCAGTTTTGAGTTTCATTTCTGTTCTGTCCATGTGTTTGGTCATCTGGTGGAAAAGTCTAACTTTTTTAGCACTAAACCCCCGTCTTCTTTGAACAAAATGACTAACTTTTACTGCACAGTGATTTCCTGTTCTCTGTAGTCTGAAGGCCAGTTCCCCTTTAGCAGAGCCTGTTTAAGTGAGTTGACCATTTCATTGACTAATAATTTAGCCATAGTCATGATGAAATTTAAAAAATGAATGAATTAATAATGTTTCCTGTTGTCCTTGTATGATGTTATATGAAAGGGGGGCTACCGTTTTACATGAAGCTTAAAGTTAATCTCCTAATAGAGAATGAGAAGTAATAAATGTAGTAAATAATAATGAATATCACATATGCAACATAAGAAATTTTCATTATCCAAAACCCATAATAGTATAAATGATAATGTTCTATGTTGGCAAGAATCTCACAGAAAAGTTATTGGCCTATAACACAGAATATTAATAATTTGTATTTGTAAAGTTTCAGTATCAGTTTGATATATTTTTGTTTTTATATATGTATGTTATATATAGAGAGAGATAAAGAGAGATACATGTACCATAAACTGTCAATTTCTGTATAAAATGATGATACATATATCATACATCAAACACATAGATCATACAGATCACATATAGATTATACATATAAACACATAGTCTATAGCTGAATCATGACACGTTCTACACTGCTTTTATTTGTCCCACATCAGTTACTCATTCTGAGGTAATTATTTGCATACTTAAGTAATAAATCCTCAGGAGAAATACATTAAATCATAGTGTTCAAAAAGTAAAAGCAAAAAACTTACCTGAACCAGTCTGTCAGTTATTGAATCCTGAGATTAAAAAAAAAAATTATATTAAAAAATCTGTAATTGAGTTTGTCTGTGCTGAAATGGACGAAGGTTATTGGTTAAAGCACTGTACGCTTTAGAACTGTAGACTGAACTCAGCAACTCTGACTGTGAGTTCCCTATTTAGACAAACAGCCAATCACAATTATCTCTGCACTTATGCTATCATATATTGATGTGTCATACTTCACTCCACCCATTTATGGTCATCAACGCTGAAATTTTCTCACGCTTCCAGTGGTTGATTAATTTCTCAATGCAGCTGAAATTACAGTCAAAAGTTAACAGGTTGCAAAAGAACCCCACCCTCACCTTCCACTTACTGGAATCATGGCATATTATATTGATCACTAGAGGGCAGCATTGACTTAACATACAACTATGTATTTTTAAATTGTATAACCTTTTAATAAAAACAACCACAACACCAACAACATATTATTATTATTATTATTATTATTATTATTATATTATTATTATTATTAATCCTTCTTGGCTTCCAACTTACAATTATGATCAGCATAGCACATCTAGGAAAACTAAAAGCCTGGAGATGAGACAGGGTGTGTAGAGTCAATACGACTTAGAAAATATAATTTTAATATATTATGGCACAGTTATGTTCCCTGACTAAAGGAACTGAGATTTACCCTTGAGGTTACCACTCTAGTTCATACCTTTTTTTCTGAGAGTGTACAGATGGAAGGCGGTGTGACTGTCTCTCCAGGGCTGGATCTCCACAGTTAAATAAATATCCTACTGAGGTTTTCCTTCTAATTCTCTATGGTTACTCTTTCTTTAAACCATCTTCAGAGAAACAAGTACAGTGATATCAGCACTTAATCCTAAAAGAAACTTAAACAAAGTAGGCACTTCCAGATTACAGGTTGTATTCCTGGGTCTTTCAGCTTTAGTCAGTTGAAACGTGTGTGGCTGGTATGGTGGAATATAGAAGCTGCAGCTGTTCTCCCACATCAGCTTCAGAATTCAGAAGATCAACTAATATCCATGAATAGTTTGTTGAAGTCACAGGGATCAGCCTTGCTTGTTTACAATAGACTACCTTCAACCCCCAAACTCCCAGAACTGTCTTCATTTCAATCATCCTAGGAATAGATTTGAGAAGGTAGGGATATTTTTCCACACCTCCAAAGTTCAGTCTTAGAAGTTGGTTGCATTTTCTGCTTTTCACAATCCAAGTAATTCCAAACACATTTAGTGATGTTGGGTGGTCAGTCCGAGAACACCAAAGCGTGGCCATACTCCTGACCAGTTAAAGTAAGAAAGTCAGCTATCATCAATAAAGCAATTGCATGAATTGTTTTACATTGAAAAGCCGCCATTAAGCCAACATCAGTTATGATCTGACGCTGCACTCGATAATCAGCATATCTACAGGAGAGTGAATGCTGCTCAAAACATTAATGTTATTATTGTTCAGTCTGCCTAAGACTGCAGCTAACACTGTTCCTCTACATTAGAAAAACATTTAAAAGCACCAAAATAGATCTCTACATCAGCATAATTCAGCACAGTATAGAAATCATACCTGGAGTGAGCAGCCATAAACAGGGTCTATTTGTCTTGTTTACAGTCCTCACGAACGCTCCATGGGGTCTCCTATGGGAAACTAGTACGTTCAGGTGTTCTTTTTACCATGCTATGTATTTTTTATTAATTAATCTTTAATCTTTATTCATTTAATGTATTTCAATTAAACATATTCTTAGTCAGTGCGATGGAAACCTGTGTGGAGATTTTGTACAAATAAAATCAACCAAGTGAACTTTCTTCCTTTCAGTCCACTCACTGATGACCTTATCAGTCACCTTTTGACTCATAAATAATCCAGAATTAAGAATCATGCAGTCTTGCATATGTAATTCTCCCCCCTAAACAACACCCAGACTTGACCAACAGGCATGAAAACGGGAAAGGCGGGAAAACAGCTGAGATCAGATTAAAGACGATCTTTCCCCTTCAGATCATGACGTGCAGCACTGATTATTTTTATTAACGCTGCTCACTTCTCTATTCAATAGAGAAGTGCATTTCACAACATTCCAAAATTTTCCATTTGACAACTTCATCACATTCTGTAGACAGTCGTTTCAGACAGAAGCAGCAAAACTGACCACAAAGCTGAACTCCCAACCACTATGACCTTCCCTTGTTAGCTTTTTGCTGTCACGTCCCATCTGATGTTAAATGTGATTCTGATAGAGTTAGCCACTGGTGGAGGAAAATACGGTCATTATTTGTGGCACATAATCCAGATATCCATCACTTTATATCTGATAGAAACATAAGTTCTAGAGTTCTAAAGAGATACTGTTGTATGTATGTTTGGACGTGCTGGACATGTGATAAGAGTTGCATTGAATAATCTGCGGGAGGATGGTGGCTGTTAGACCATGTTATTGCTGAGAAGAAAATTTCATTACAAAAACCACAGTATGACAGCCAGCTGTCTTCTCATGGACTTCCCTTTCTCTAAAGAAAATCACTCATTTCTCTTCATCCACCTGCTTCTCTTCTTCTTTCTGAGCTTCTACTTTTCTTTGTTAAGCTTGCCAACTGAAGTCCAGGCAAAATAAGTAAGAGCTTGTGTCCATTCAGAAATATCTAATTGCAGTTTGAACAATTCTGATTTTGCGTTTTCATATTTGACATTGAATGTGGTCAGCGGTATCAGGTAACTGTTATGTTAGCTAACTTGAACATGTGCAGAAATGTTCTGGAGAAGAGAAAAAAGCAGATGAAATCCAGAACAGATTGGGAAAGAAACCAGGGACTTGATGATTTTGCACAGTTATAGTGAAATTACCCTTAAACTCAGCTTTTAGCAGTTATATCTCCCTGGATGGTAACAAGCTAGCTAGCAGGTTAGCCAACTAGCAAGTTAACCCAAGGAAAGAAACATTTCTTTTATATCCATGTAAATACGCATACATAGTACATTTGTATGTTTTCACAACCTGACATTATTCAGTTAGAGATTTGAGTTCCTAAGGCCTAAAAAAACTGGAACTCAAAAGAGCTACAGAGAAAATGGGCCTCCTAACAACCACCTGCAAGACCTGGTAGACCACCAACACTGTCCCCATCAGATAACCAGTATTTAAAGCTTCATCTTTAGGAGAGAGGAGAAAATTTTGAGATACAGAAAATGTAACCAACTTCCAAGACTAAACTGTGGAGGTGTGGAAAAACAACCCTGGCAGACTCATCTGAACAACTGAAAGTAAATCTCAAAGAGCTCAGTGAGAATGTGGCTTGTCTTTATTGTTAACCTCATCTATTGTATCATATGTAAGAGAGAGGACTGATTTTTCATTTTATTTATGTTTCCTTAATTGGTTATATTACTTATTCACTTATATACAACAAATGTAGTACTTGTGCTGTGTCGCCAGTACTTACACTATATAGACAAAAGTATCGGGACACACCTCCTAATTATTAAGTTCAGGTGTTTCAGCCACACTCATTGCTAACAGGTGAATGAAATTAAGCACAGAGTCCTGACCTCAACCCCATCAAACACCTTTGGGATTAACTAGAACGGAGAATGCAAGCCAGGCCCTCTCGTCCAACATCAGTGACTGATCTCACAAATGCTGTTCTGGGTGAACGGGCAAAAATTCCCACAGACACACTCCAAGATCTTGTAGAAAGATTCCAGAAGAGTGGAAGCTGTTATAACTGCAAAGGGGGACCAACTCCATATTTAATGCCTATGGATTTAGAATAAAGCTCTTGTAGGTGTGATGTGTAGGTGTCTTAATACTTTTGTCTATATCATGTATTTTCAGTTTTACCATTTGTGAAACTTTTTCCACATGAAAAGTATTTCATTCAAAATGATATCATATGATTTGGGTGGATGGAGGCTGCCAAGTATGATGTCACACATGGCATCCAAAGGTTAAGAAATGGCCCTGACTAAAAGGGTAACAATGAGAGGCGACATTTATGTTCCTTACATTCATAAATATATATTACGGTTTAGTAGCTACATTGCTTATATATTAATGTCTTAGTAGATAAATAATTCATAGTAGTTACTGAATAATAAGTCTTGGTTTGGTTTGTTTCACAGGGTTAAATTTCATGCAACTATAGCTGCATGAAAATAAACTGTTGCATAAACTAAAGGCTTTTGCAACACATCTAAAGCCTGTTTGAATTACAGTTTACCATCCATCTTAACTCCAAACATCTTAACTCCAGTTTCAATAGCCAATCAAAAAGCAGGTAGTGTATCACATGTGTAAGGCAAACAAGAAGACAGGATACAAATATGAGTGTTCTTTATTTGATTCAGTCTCAGGTGAAACAAGAAAGCAAGCAAGAACATAAAGGACAGGAGAATCAATGAAAAAACACAAAACTAACTACAAGATTGAAGAGATGGGATGCTGTGACATGAGATAAGAACTTGTTTATGCTCATCTCCCATCTGTCCTTCCAGACGTGGCGACGGCCAGTGATGCAGCAGCTGGAACAGTGTATTTCCATCATTGTATAACTAGGTGAAAGGTGAATTCAGGAACCTTCAAGGCCGTTGGCTGGACTGAGAGCAACTCTTGCTGATGACATTAACATGCACACAAAGGACACTATCTTTATTGACTAAATCTCTCCAATGACACTGTGTTTAGTTGGCAGAAACCAAGTCTGCATTATAACAGGTTTGATTTGTAATGATAAATCAGCAATTGCATAATAGATATATGTCTATTTTACATATAATTGGCATAAATCTATAACTGCTTTGACCAAGTCTGTGTTAGATTAAGGAAGACTGCTCTCTCTCCCTTTCTCTCTCTCTCTCTCTCTCTCTCTCTCTCTCTCTCTCTCTCACTCTCTCTCACACACTCTCACTCACAAACCAGAGCTTTCACTATCACCAGAGCTTTATCCTCCTGATTCTTTAAGCTTATGACTTGGTCTTGCTTGTGGGTGTGAGGCTCTGTATGTTTGTGTGAATGTGATAATGTGCTAAGATTTTTTTTCTTTTTTTATCTGTTCTTGCAACACAGAAATTACGAATGGGTGTTTTTTCATACTTTTCTAAATTTTAATCTTAGTTATGCTTTGTTAAATACATGAACTAACCACTTGAGCTGGGAGACAAACATCATCCGTGCTGGCCGAAGAACCAGGGAGACATAGAGGTATATATACACAAACAAATGTACAGAGACACCTGAAGAAGGCGGGGCAGAAAACAGGTGGGTAATGATGATGGGAGCAGGACGCGGGAGGAGACAAAATCCAAAGCATCACCAAAGACATATGGCCAAAGAAAACAGACTAGACTAGGGCAGAAACGAACAAGAGGAAAGGTGGACTAGGGAGTCAGTTACCGACCGCAAGATTCTGACAATATTTTTTCAAAGGAATGATTGTAAGCAACACATTATAGACCAGAAAATAAAACAGAAAATGATAAAATAATTTAAATAATGTTAACATTATTGACTGATCGCCAGTTAATCTTATTCACTGCTGTTTGAATAGCTGCTTGTGCCAGTGTTAGTTCTGCATTGTTAGTCTGCTGTATCGTTGTCTCTGTAGCTGGGATATGAATTTTTTCCTTTCTCATTTCTCAAAATACAAAGATGAAATCATGGGCTAAATACTTACCACAGATGAAAAAGCTGCTAATCCTACAAATTAGTGCCATGACTGAAAGTGCTGCTTGCTTTTTTTGCATTGCTACATTTTACTGTCAGAAACTATGTTTTACAGTGCTATGAACGTTTATTCATGTAAAGACAGCTTTATGATTAATAAGCATAACGCTCAAACATCCATCTTTGCAGCTACTTTCAACGCTTACAAGAAATATGGTTTATAAACAGCCTAATTTCAGTGAGCTGCTTATAAACGTCTACAGGCTGGTGCCATATTTATCCATATGCAAAATGCTGACTATTATGGAAAAATTAGGCTAATACTTAAGAAAATGGGGATAGATTCAAAGAGAAAAGGAAATAACGTGATAAATATTAAAGGAAAAAATTAAAGATTTAATTGAGACATAAATAGTGGTTAACAAGCAGTTTCAAATTACGCAAAATGATTTTTAAAAGGTGGTAATTACAATAACCCAGTGATAAAATAATATAATAGTACAATAAATGCTGAACAAATTATGTTTTTTACAAATAGCAATAAAGAGCCCATGTTAACACCTTAAATGGTTGGAGGGCCCAAAGTTTTATTACACACTTCTGTAACCTAAGAATAGCTCAGCCAGTTTGCATTGAAGTGCCTGTAGTTACTGAATAATAAGCCTGGGATTTTAAGGTGTTAAATATCAAGTGTGTTTTTTTTATGTGGAGGATAAAAATAAAGTCTGCATCTCTACTTTTCATTTGCTTGGCTCTTGTTAAGTGTCCTGTGAGTTCATAAATGCAGCACTTTGTGAGATGACCATGAGACTACTTTCCATGACCTCTGCTACTACTCACCATGAGTGACAGCGTGTATTACAATGAGAGTTGCCCCAAGCTCCTGATGTGAATATCGAGCAGATGGGAGATTTGACTGTTGAAATGCAGCAAAGAAGGAGAAAAGGCCTCCAGAAAGTCTCTTTCCTCAAAACAAGACAAACACAGGCTTGTTGGAACATTGATTGGAAGAAAATAGAAAGAAATGATTCAATGTGAAAATGTAAAGATATCGTTTATATAAGTGAATGTAGACTTTTTGTAGTGTTTTATTACCTTTTTTGCTTGTGTATCCTCTTGCTGCTGTTTCTTATCATTCACAATAATAATGTGTTTAAACATGATAGATTAAGCATGGATGCAGTGAGTCTCCAAAAGTCTGAGACAAAATTGAAAATTGTGACTTGCTTCATTAAAATGTGTTATGACAAGTAAAAGGAAGAATATATGTTCACAATTCTGCACTATTTTTAGTGCAGTGTCCAAATTTAAGCATATTGGAGTGATTTGTCATGTTACGTTCTCTGTGCAAAAATGTCAGTATGTTTTTTTTTATGTATGTGTATTTGTATTTATGTATTTTATACCTTCCAGTGAATGTCGTGTTTAGACGACTCTCAGCTGGATTCGATCTGCTCATCAGAGGCGGAGTCCATGCAGCTCCAGTGCACACTGTCATTCAACTAAAAGAGGGACAGTACAAATACTGAGAAATATGAGTTTATATAGTTAGTGAAAGAGGATGTGGAAGAAAGAAGTGACTCTTAATATGTAATCTTTTAAAGGTTTAAAAGAGAAACGCATGCTGTTTTTTAAAATATGTTTAAAGAGACATTTTCCATGACACATAAGAGCGTGATCGATATAGAGACGTATCTAACTATGATCAGCTTGTGAAACATTGTCTCTGTTAATGTTTCTTGTTTTCTATCACTGGAGGCACTACAATAGAGAAGAACGTGTGCTATACTTGGAGAATAGTTGTTGAATGATGCTTAAACATGTTGAGCAAATCACATTTTGCAAGGGCCTGTAAGTGGACCCATAGCTCATTTAAGCAATAGAACATGAGAGGGAGCGTGTTATCGCGAAATAACATCACTGTGATTTGGTCGCCATAGATCATCACAGCCTTGATGTTATAGTGATAACACATGACAATGTAACCCTAAAAGTATCCATTTTCTGCTTGTGCAAAGTAAGAAGTAAAAACGTTCAAATGGCTTAAGTCGTTACTTAGCAAGTGATACAGTATTTATGAAAAAAAGGGTAGAACACTTCTCAACCAATCAGCTTGTACGGCCAGAACTAACTGTTGTATAGTACTACATCAGTTACATGTTAGTTTCACAGTAGTTATCAAATAAATTGTAAAAACAATAGGTACAAAATAATGTCTTAAAATTAGTGACTAAAACTAAACATGACTAAAAATACATACAAAAAAAGGTTAACTTATATAAAACCTTTTTGATTTTTTTGTGTTATTTTATTTATGTTTGTGTGTTCATGTAACCATTTCCAAACTTCTTCTTGAGGAAGCATATTATTATGTTACCATCTAATATTCAGTTTGTGTTTTCTGCGAAATCTGCATCCAAGCTTTTTTCTTATAATGAGTTCACAAGATATCAGCTACTTTTTGAAAACGAGAAACTCTGGTCACTTTTCACTTGTTTGTTAGCGTTTATTCTAATGTAGTGTTTTTACTGTCAAAAACACACTTAATGATAAGACCTTTTAATATTAAGACCTATACAAAGTACTGTATGTGGACTGTTCTACTGAATTTCAGACTTTTCACTGACCTGGACTTTAGACTAAACTTCTTTTGCTTTGAGTGACCCTATACTTTAATTATTTGTATTTCATTTGAATAATTGATTAAACATTCAATTTTATCACCATTGAAACAGTACTGCTTGTGTGATGTTTCGGTAGTGAGTGTTTTAGCTAAAAACAAGTACATGGCTAGCAAATAGAGCTTTGAACAGTTGTACACACATAAAATCATAATTATATTTTTTAAAACACGAAAAGTTTACTTTTTAAGCATTTAAAATATATGTTTCAGTAGTGAGAATTGTTAATGTTACACACTGATGTTCACACTTTGTTCAAATTAATAGGATCTAACTACTCACCATGTGGACATGCAGTCTCACTTCCTGTGCCAAAATACAGGGGTGTGGCCAAAATAAGGCCCCACCTATGACTTTAAATGAAAATAAGATATATGTACATCTTTTAGCTCACTTTAAAAGAAATTAAAAACAAAAACCTTTAACAAACGTAAGTAAAATTTTTACAGTTTAGGGGTTAATTTAGGGGTTAATGTTTGGGACAGACACCTCCTAATAGAACATACCCTCTAACTGATGATTTTGTATATCACTACTCTTGGAACAAAACCTTGTATTTCCATTTTTTTAGTTTTTGACATAATTTAAAAATGCCTGCTGCCCTTTACGTTGTATATAAGGTTCATGATGAGTGGACCAAAAGAAACGGCCCACAATGCCTTGGAAAAAGTCTGGTTACATTGACTTTCAATAAAAGTACAGTATGTTTTTTCCTTTTCTTGTAAAGTTGCCATTTCATAGATACGACGTTTTGTTCCAACAGTGATTTATTTAGCTTATTACTGTCTCAATGTCTGGGTTTACATCAATCATAGTATAATGCTTGTAAATATCTAAGGTCTGAATATTTAATGTTTTTTAATAGCTGTCATTAAAATGGTCCATATACAGTTTTAGTGGAGACTTTGGAATGTATTAGCCATGTGTTTCACAAATAGTCTTTTCTCCCAAATATCAGTTATTGGATTCCTTATTTATTATTTATTCCTTATTTATTAACCTGCTTCAGGTCATAAGCTTCTCCTTCATCACAGAGATTGTTTTTAAGCTGTTTGGCACTTACATCTGTCAGACATGAAGACGAGAGTCTACGCTTTTGATTTTGTCTCCTCAACTTTCTAAAAAGCAAAAGCCCCTCCAGTACATTTAAAACCACAGACACACAAGTGACAACAAGTGTGTAGATGGAAAAGACAGTCAACTCAGCAGCTCATGGTAAGTAGCAGTCCACTCGATTAGGACATGGATTTTCCTCACAGCTAATATTTAGAAAAATCACAAAACCGTATAGAAAGTATTGTGCGACAATGAAAGCAACTTCTAAGATGATCTTAACAAGCAGTTGAGCAAAGTAGCTACACATCACACTCTTTCTCACATTCCCACTCGCCTTCTCAGAGGGCTTTGCCTCTCCATACATTACATGCATCACATAAGCGAGGTACAGCAGAGTTGGAGCAGATGCAAAAATGATCTGAGCCCACCAGAAGCAGAAAGGAACCACTGGAAACAAACGATTGCGGCAAGACTCAGCACAGCCACATTGTTGTGTATTGCAGACCAATTTGTCCTGCTCTAAGACATCAACTCCCACCATCAGCATGAAGACTCTGAAGAAGAAGAGGGCGGTTAGCCAGACTCTGCCAACGACTGTAGAGTGGGTCAGCACTTCTTCTGACCACTTTGAGAAAAGCTGCGTCCATTCCATCTCATCTGCGTCTCAGAACTGCTGCAAAACATGAAATAAATGTTTGCAGGTTTTCACACTGGTGCAATGTTGTTGGTCAGTTGATATTAGAACAAAAGAAAAACATCCAACATGGCTGCCCAGAATACTCAACTAAGAGTAGAGGATATGGCAAAAATATTACATTACTGTACTTGACATTTTCACAATAAACTAGTCAGTCATATGAGTGCAACGTATGCAGAATGGAGCCCAGACATTTGCATACAAGTTAATTTTGGTCAAATGAATTACAGCTTACCATTATAAAATGCAATTTGTTTATTTGAAGTGGTCCTTTGTAGATGATTAATAAACTCTCTAACAGACTCTAACAGAGTACCAGTAACATATCAGTAAAGTAGCAGTAGTGAAGCATCTGAATACACTGAAGTAAATCTTGTAGATGTACTGTTGATACATTACTTATGTTAAATAGATGTATTGTTGATATGTTACATGCAGTAGACTTAATATGTTACGTCCAGTAAGCAAAATCTCACCTTACCCAACCTTACTCAAATCCTAATCCACACCCTGGCCCTAATCCTAACCCTAACCTCAATCTCAACCCAGAACCTAACCCTAACCCTCACCCTAACCCTAATCCTGACCCTAACTTTAACCGTACCCTAATCCAGTCAAGCTCCAGTTACAGAATGGTGTGAGCAGCATGTCTATAACAGCTTGTTGAAAACATAGCTTGTCTGATACACATTCAGTGACCTCTCATTTTAACATCAAATGAAGTAAAAAACAACTGAATTCGGTCGATCATAAACAAATTTTATTCACTCGGTTGATTAAAAGTCTTTTGATGATCTGCTGTATTCACTGCTGCTACATCATTGATATGTTGTTTGTCCACATTCAGATGTAGGTTGTTGAATTTACGGTGACTGACAGACTGCAAAATCTGCAAAAAGTCCTTTGTTTTGTGGACAAAAAGATGGTTGTTGACTTCAGGAGAGCACAGAGTGACCACTCTCCGCTCACCATCAACAACTCCCCTGTGGAGATTGTTGCGAGCATCAAGTTCCTTGGTGTTCACCTGGACTCTGAACACCAGCTTCATAACCAAGAAGGCCCAGCAGCGCCTCTATTTCCTGAGGAAGCTAAGGAAAGCTCATCTCCCATCCACCATCCCTACCACCTTCTACAGAGGCACTATAGAGAGCATCCTGAGCATCTGCATTACTGCCTGGTTCGGGAATTGCATCGCCTCCGACTGCAAGACCCTCCAGCGAATCGGGGTCTCTCTCCCCACCATCACGAACATTTACACCACATGCTGCATCCGAAAAGCCACTAGCATTGTAACTGACCCCACACACCCCTCACACAAACTGTTCTCTCTTCTGCCCTCTGGAAGAAGGTATCGCAGCATTCGGGCCTCACAGCCAGAATGTGCAACAGTTTCTTTCCACAAGCCTTCAGATTCCTCAACACCCACGGACACACATGCACGCACAAACACATACATAACACCCACATGGACCTACATACACATACATAACACCCACACGGACCTACATACACATATACATAACAATATGGGACTCACTCCTCACTTATTGTATTTCCAAATTATGGAACACTGTGATAATATAATCACTGTACTTCACTGAAACACTTCATTTGACATGACTGCAAATCTGAATACTTGCATTATTGCACATTTTATACTTCATTTTAACAATGTTAGCTGCTAGAGTTTCAATATCAACCAAATACTGTATATTGTATATTGCCGCTCTGGTTGCTACCTCGGTGACTGCTATGCTCACTGCTAAGCTGCTAATATGTCATAGTATGTTACATCCTTTGCACAACTCCACATACTCTCAGTACCGTGTACTGCTTGTGTTCTGTTATGTATTCATTGTAAGTCTTTCGTATTTATTTATTGTACTGTATTGTCTGCACTGTGGTTATTGTCTCGCACTTGTGTTCCTGTGTAGCACCATGGTCCTGGAGGAATGTTGTTTCATTTCACCCTGTACTTGTATATGACTGAAATGACAATAAAGCCTGACTTGACTTGACTTGATGTTGTTGAGAGTTCTCTGAGTGTTTATTTATTTAAATACACCACTCATAATGAAGTGTCACCAGATTCTTTACCCAGTGCCACAAAAGAACCACTTTTGTTTTCCTAGAGACCATTTCAGTGGACGGCTTGTTACGGGAACGTTTTTGTTAAAGAGACGTGTAATTGTAAAGAACCTCCTTTAAAGAAGAACCTCCATATAATGTAAAGACTATAGGAAGAACTCTTAAATTGGTATAAAAGGTTCCTCACACTCACTCATCTCATTTTCAACCAGGGTTACGAAACTAACCATATGCTCTAGTGTCTGCATACCATGATTTTTCAACCAATCGCACTTCATTCTGCCCTTTTCTCTGGATTTTTTTAGAGGGAGAGCACTTTTCCTGGAATGGGAATCTTTCCAGTAATTTAAACCCCTCCACAGATGTTTCTGATATGTCCTCTCAGAGGTTCGTATAGTAGAGAAGCAAATTAATTTAGGAAACAAATGCAGTTAAAATCAACTGATTCATACATGATATAAATACAGGTTTGTTACAGTGTTGCTATCATTCACCATCAGATAACATTAGATTGATTTGTGAGTGCAAACAGAGAGAAAGAGGTCACGTTTGTAGTCATCTAAAAGACAGACTTCAGGACTGCCCAGTCAGCTTTCTGGAAAGTGACTCCAATGCTAAACTTTCAATTTCTCTGGAATACATGAGTCAGACTATATATTATGTAGTATGTTTGCATTAATTCTTATTGAAGATGTACTAAGCATGTTCTTATTCTTGCTTTTTGTAGCAGATGCACAAATAGAGTTTATTAAAACAGACACTCAGACTAAAGTTCCACTACACACCTTTAGTAAAACATGAATTTATACACAGACCGGTCACTTCATTAAGTCCACCTCCTTGTTTCTACACTCTTTGTCCATTTTATCAGCTCCACTTACCATATAGGAGCACTTTGTAGTTCAGTCAATAACAGACTGCAGTCCACCAGTTTCTCTATATACTTTGTAAACTCCCTTTCACTCGGTTCTTCAGTGGTCAGGACCCCCACAGGACCACCACAGAGCAGGTATTATTTGAATGGTGGATCATTCTCAGCACTGCTATCGGCTAGTTCTGTGGTGAAGCAGACACAACCTCAGTAAAGTCCACAATACAAAATGATCTTCCACATGTTTTGTGCAGTTACATACATACCAGAGAGTTCGCCAACTGCACTTTGTAACTTTGCTTAAGTTACAAAGTGCAACTTTAACATTATACAGTGACAACCAGTTAATGTAATTCACTGCTGTTTGGCTGGTGGCTTGTGCCAGTGTTAGTTCTACATTGTTAGTCTTCTATATTGTTGTCTTTGTAGCCAGGATATTCATTTTCTCCTCTCTCATAAAAAAAAAAAAAACGAAATTATGGGCTAAATACCCACCACAGAAGAAAAAAACTAGCTGCTAATCCTACTAATTAGTTCAATAATCGAATATACTGCTTGCAGTTTTTTGCATTGCTTCGTTTTACTGTGAAGTTGTGCAGAAATGATGTTTCTACAGTTCCATGAAGGTTTATCCATGTAGAGTCAGCTTTAAGATTAATAACCAAACAATAATAACAAACAATAATCCCAGAGTTCAAATCTTTGTAGCTACTTTCAAAGATGGTAAAAATGTGCTTTCTAAACACAAAAATACAATAAACAGTACGATAAATGCTAAACAAATGCTGCTTTTATAAATGGTTTTGAAGAGCCCCTGTTAAAATTCAAAGGTCAGTGACTTTTATAAGGAAGATAAAAACAAAAGTCCACTTTTCATCTGCTTAGCTCTTGTTAAGTGTCCAGTGAGTTCGTGAAGGCCTCAATGGGCCTCTTTCGCCAACTGTTCTTAAGAAGAAATTTCTTCTTAAAACCCACTTACACAGTTTTCATGAAGATTCTGACTTTCACCCTCTGTTTTCTTATTTGGGATTTGTTTTTAGGTAAGAACAGAATCTACGCACACTCAAGAACACAAAGGTGTGAACAGTTCTGTGGTTTAAGAACACAACATCAATCTAATGTAGACATTTTCCTAAGACCTTTCTCAAGAACACTTTTAAGAACAAATGTAGGAAGATAGTGGTGAATGAGGCCCAATGACCTTATCGACTCAGGTTAATGCATTGTGTGAGAAGACCTTTAGACCAGTCTCCATGACCTCTGCTATGGCTACTACTCACCATGAGTGACAATGTGTATTACAATGAGAGTAGCCCCAAGCTCCTAATGTGAATATCGAGTAGATGGGGTATTTCTAACTGTTGGAATACAGCGAAGAAGGAGAAAAGGCCTCCAGAAAGCCTCTTTCCTCAAAACAAGACAAACACAGTTAAACACTGAAATGATTCAATGTGAACATGTGAAGATATCTTTTATATAACTGAAAGTAATAAAGTCTTTTTATAGCCTTTTTTAATTTTAACTTGTGTAACAGTTTCTTATACTTTTTTTTCAGCAAAAAGTAAACATCCAGAGAGCCTCTATATATTGCCCTCTATTTACATGAAATGGTTTAGTCCTGCCTCCAAACCAGGCATGAATGATATTTGCTAGCAGTGAAGTGTAAGTGAGGAGTGTTGGTAGAGCTTTATGTCTCAGATTCCTAAGGTAAAATCTGGCATCCAGAAACGAAAAGAAAGAAAAGAAAGACAGGAGAGAAGAAAAGAAATGGCAAAAATATGTCACCCAATTTTTCACAAAGAAGGGTGGATGCAGTCCATTAGTGGTGGAAGTGCTCCTCATAGCTTAGTCCACAGTGAAATAGGCTAACTTACTTGTGTTCGCCTAACTTTAGCTACTTAATATCTTCACAGAATTTTTGAATGTTTACATTTCTCTCCTCTTTTAGCTGACATTTAATCAAGATAGGCAAACCTTTAGCAAACTGTTTGTAATAAATCAGTTATCCCTGCCCCAGCCTGGTGCCAGACGCAACAGATGCTCAGGCTCAGCTGTCCTGTCTTCCCGTCCTTTCGAAGACTGTGGAATATATTGGACATGAAGGTAGAGTTTAAACACATAGGGTGTGTCTCAAAACCTAGTGAGCTGTCTAAGTAGTCGCTGTCTACATAGGCAGCTGTCTAAGTAGGCAGTGTTCCAACCATCATCTATCCTTATAAGATAGATAAATGAGATGCTCTAGTTAGACAGCAGTGACGTCGCCGCTTGTTCCCGCGCACTGCACGAGACCGACGTTTACTTATCTCAGCCGTCAGAATCACATTTAGCCAACATGGATCTGCTCTGGCAGTTTATATAGCGATTTTAATTGTATTTGCTCTGAATGAAACAGCAAAATAGACAATAGTTGTGGTCAAAGCGAGCATATTGTGATGTAAAATGCTGTCTATGTAGAGAGCTCACTAGGTTTTGAGACACACCCATAGTCTTTTGTCTTAAGCATCAGTTATTGGATTTCCTTATATAGTCATTCGCCTGCTTCAGGTCATAAGCTTCTCCTTCATCACAGAGATTGTTTTTAAGCTGTTTGGCACTTACATCTGTCAGACATGAAGATGAGAGTCTACGCTTTTGATTTTGTCTCCTCAACTTTCTAAAAAGCAAAAGCCCCTCCAGTACATTTAAAACCACAGACACACAAGCGACTGCAATCATGTAGATGGAAAAGACAGTCAGCTCAGCAGCTTGTGGTAAGTAGCAGTCCACTCGATTAGGACATGGATTTTCCTCACAGCTAATATTTAGAAAAATCACAAAACCGAATAGAAAGTATTGTGCGACAATGAAAGCAACTTCTAAGATGATCTTAACAAGCAGTTGAGCAAAGTAGCTACACATCACACTCTTTCTCACATTCCCACTGGCCTTTCCGGGGGCAGGGATCATTCTTTCTCTGTACATTACATGCATCACATAAGCGAAGTACAGCAGAGTCGGAGCAGATGCAAAAATTATTTGAGCCCACCAGAAGTGGACAGGAAATACTGGGAAAAAATGACTGTGACAAGACTCGGCACAGCCAGGTTGGTATGTATTGCAGACCAATTTGTCCTTTTGTAAGGCATCAACCCCCACCATCAGCATGAAGACCCTGAAGAAGAAGAGGACGGTCAGCCAGACTCTGCCAACGACTGTAGAGTGGGTCAGCACTTCTTCTAACCACTTTGAGAAAAGCTGCATCCATTCCATCTCGTCTGCGTCTCAGAACTGCTGCAAAACATGAAATAAATGTTTACATGTTTTGATACTGGTGCAATGTTGCTGGTCAGTTGATATTAGAAAGGAAGAGAAATATCCAACATGGCTGTTCAGAACACTTCAGTCTCAACTAAGTGGGCAATATGACAAAAATATAACATCAATATACTTGACATTTTCACAATTACCTATACAGTCATATGCAAATGTATGCAAAAAGGCACCCAAACTTTTCTTATTTTTGATCAGCTGAAATGCAGTCTATCATTTTAAAAATAAAGGTGTTCTTTACACAGTGCGATCAAAAAAACATTTTCTTTCCCTAAAGAACCTTTCAGTATATGGTTCCTTTGCAGAAACATTTTTATACATGAGAAACGGTAAAGAACCCTCTTTAACCCCTCAAATGGCCATGGGCCCACTGACAGGCTCAAAGTTTTATTGCACACTTCTATAACCTAAGAATAGCTCAGCCAGTTTGCACTGAAGTCCCTGTAGTTACTAAATAATAAGCGTTAGTATGTAATAAGCCTGGGATTTTAAGGTGTTAAAGAAGAACCTCCACATAAGGTAAAGGTTCTAGGAAAAACCCCTGAACTGTTATAGAATCTTTTACGTGAACCGTTTCACTCAATAACAATGGAATAACCATTCGAGTCTTTATTGACTCATCCAAAGGACTCGACACAGTCAATAACAGTGTCCTGCTACAGAATTTACAATATTAAGCATTCCGAATGTGGAGGTAGAATAGTTATTTATTACATAGAAAAAAAGCTATTTATTACATAGAAAAAAAGTGTGTCTCATGTCAGAGCTCTTGCTCCAGTCTAAAGTAATATAGATTGTGGAGTTCCTCAAGGGTCAATATTGAGACCCCTTTTGTTTTTATTGGCAGCAAAGGATGCATTCTTTGTTTGCTGATCACACCAATATTTTTCTATCTGATAAAGATGGCCATAATTATTGTAGTCTATAAATTCAGAATGATCAGCTATTACTAGCTTATTTAAAGCTAGTACAGTATCTATCAACATCAATTTTTTTTCATACATTACATTTTTCATTTATTAATTCTCAGCCTTAAAATAAAAAGGCCCTGATACTCTTCTACCAGTTTCAACTTTCATCATTATTCCAAAATATCTTCTAATAACCTCCACACCGCTTTCTTCAGGACTTCAGTTGCACAGTTTAAACTCCCTTATCGAGGATCTTCAATCTGGAACTGCCTACCACCTCATCTAAAAACTGTACCAGTCTCATAAGTTTCAAAACACACATCAAAACTCATGTGCTTTCACTGTAACAAACCTAATTGTAATTTATTTTGGATAGATTTTATCTGTTTTTTTATTTTATATAACTTAATATTTGTTTTTCTTTGAAAGTCACTTTGTACCAGCCCTTTCTGGGCTTTTTCTGTACTTTCCCAGCATATTCACTCTCCTTTCTTTTTTTTTTAATTTGCCTTACCTTTTTGTGAAAATAATAATACCTAGATAGACACTCCTCTAGATAGACATTATGGCTTGTTTAGCAGTCTATCTTTCCAAAAAAGCAGCCACAACTGACCAAACAAAAGATGCTCACCTGAAGTTTTTGCAGAACTTGTTTCTTCTCTGCTGTCTTTGTGTTGCACAGTTAGAGATGGTAGCAGAAATGTATGAAGATTGTTTGGGGTCGGGCTTTAAACCCCGTAGTTTTGACGTCTGCATTCCTACTTTTCGGCCAACCAATCACACTTCATTCTTTTTCATGGGTTTGTTTAGAGGGACAGCACTTTTCTCGGCATGGATCTTTGCTCCCTGGCTTTTTAACCCCTCCACAGATGTTTCTAATAGATCCTCTCAGAGTTTCCTTTACCAGAAAAGCAAATTAATTTAGCAAACAAACACAGTTCAAATCAGCTGATTGATACATGATATAAGTACAGGTTTGTTACAGTGATGGTGATCATTCACCATCAGATATTGATTTGTGGGTACAAACAGAGAGAAAGAGGTCATGTTTGTAGCCATCTAAAAAAAACCTCAGGATTGTGCAATCAGCTTTCAGTGAAATGACTGCAGTGCTGAAGTTCTCTTGTATACATGAGTCAGACTCTTGGTATTAATTCTTTTTGTGCACTGGAACACAGGCTAGAGATACAGCCAACCAAGCACGTCTCATTCTTGCTTTTTGTAGCAGAAGCACAAATGAAACTCCATGACATGTTTTTGGTAAAACATGAATGTATACACTGACTGGCCATATTTGTTCACTTGTAGTTCTACAATTACAGACTATATTCCATCTATTTCTCTGCATACATTGTTAGCCCCTTTTCTACCCTGTTCTACAGTGGTCAGGACCCCCACAGGACCACCACGGAGCAGGTATTATTTGGGTGATGGGTCATTCTCAGCACTGCAGTGACCCTGACATGGTAGTGTGTGTGTGTGTTTGAACAATTCTGTTAGGTAACTGCTATGTTAGCAAACTGGAAAACATGTGGAAATGTTCCGAAGAGCAAAAAGCAGATGAAATCTACAACAGAATGGGAAATGAAACCAGGGACTTGACAATGTTGCTCAGTCACAGTAAAATGACCTTTAAAAACTCGGCTTTTAGCACAATTATATCAGCCTGGATGCTAACAAGCTAGCTATCAGGTTAGCCAATGAGTAAGTTAACCAGAGAAACAAAACGTTTCTGGTCAAACATGAAGTATCCACATAAATACTAAAACATAGCACATTTGTATGTTAGCACAACCTGAGATTACTCAGTTGAAGATTTGAGTTCCTAAGGCCTTGTGAAAAAACAGGAGTTTCTTACTGCAATTCAAAAGAAGATTAAAAGATACAGAGAAAATGGGTTTTCATCTTTGAGAGAGAGGAGAAAATCAAGCTCCACTCTTGCTTCAGATCTGAAAAAAATCCACAGGTGTTTCTGTCCATCCTTCCACTGTGAGAAGACAACTCAGCGTTATGAGCCTGAAAGGATGTGTAGCTGTCAAGAAGCCTCACTAAGAAAAAAAAGAGGAAAATTGGCACTAGACATCAGAGAGTGATATAAAGATAATTTATAACACTGCTTCCAAAAACTCAAGAAATCAGAAATAAGGCACACACCACTTAAATACACGTTTCACATTGATGTTGATAGATACATACCCATACCAATGAACCGGCCCTACTCCCAACCCCCATACACCTACCAATGAACCAGCCCTAATCCCAATCCCCATACCCTTACCAATGAACCAGCCTTGTCTCCCCATCCCCATACACCTACCAATGAACCAGCCCTAGTCCCGACCCCCATACACCTACAAATTAGTCAGCCCTACTCCCCATCCCCACACCCCTACCAATGAACCAGCCCTACTCCCCATCCCCATACGCCATTGCACACCATTTTCTACTAGGTGTCTTTTCTTTGCTGGAGGTGGGCTTGTGCTTCTGGTTTCTCTGACACAAGCCTGTCCTTCAGCAGAGGTGTGAGGGGTGTTCACAGATTGGGGAGGGGTCGAAGATGAAGTGAAGGAGTGGGTCAGAAGAGGTAGGAGAGTGCTGGATAAATCTGCTTTGCTGCAAGAAAAGATGACCAAATTTATAAAAAAGCAACATGAAAACAAATACAAATTTCCATGCTAAATAAGGCTACATTTCATGCTAAATGTATAATAAATAAATATGTTATTTATGCATGCTATATTTAGTTCAACCACTAAACCATATTAGCGTAATAGGCTACGAGATTATGCTGACACATCGTGATATGCTATATTTTACAACACACAGTATGTTCAGCAACTTACTAAACCATATTAAATGTATTGTTATAAGGCTAAAGGATGGGGCAAACATGCTGTAAATGTATATTATTATGCATTCCCTCACGCACAATCATGAATTTAAACGTATGTAAACAACTTACACATCGAGCACGGCATCAATTCAATGCACAAATGCATCATATTCCTCGGAGTCCATGCTAGCAGCCATGAACCATCACTCTCAGCTTTCAGCTCATCATTGCACCTCAACAAATGTTGAGGTGCAATGATGTTCACCTAACTTTGGCTAACAGTGCCTAAAAGTTCTAATAATGTTTAAAGATTGCATGTAGATGGCTGAAAATTGGTATGCACATAGTTAAACTAGTTCTAAGGAATTTGAATTGGTGTGTTGGACTGTGTTTTTTTTTTTGTTTTTTGTGGTCCAAAAGTCTGAGACAAAATTGAAAATCTTGATTTGTTTCATTAAAATAAACAACAGAAAGTTTTAGAATTCTGTAAAATTTAAAACCCAAAGAAGTTATGACAAGTAAAAGGAGAAAAAATGTTCACAATTCTACACTATATCTAGGTTAGTGTGCATATTTAAGCATATTTGAGTGATTCGTCATGTTAAGGCCACTGTGCAAAAATGTCAGTATGTTTTTTTTTAGTTTTATTTCTTCCAGTGAATGTTGTGTTTGATGAGGCACATTTTCTAAGACACATAAGAGTGTGAACTATAAAAAGACCTAACCATGATCAGCTTGTGAAACATTGTCTCAGGCAGAGAAAAAGTCTCTTCTGTATGTTGTTCTTGTTTTCTATAATCAGCATAGTTAGACGGTGGGGGGACTTTATTTTTCCTGGAAGGCTGGTGGAAGACAGAGAGGGGGGAGATAAATGGAAACAACACTCAATAACATTATCCTGACAGTGTGAGAGGGCAGGAGGAAGAATCCCCAGAACTCTACTCTCTCCACCCTTCATCCTGTCAGGCTTTCATAGAAGGATAAAACAGCACAGAGTTTTACGATAAACAGAGTTACTGAGAAATCCTAAGAAACAGGCAGCTGGTTTAGTGATGCTGAAATATGTGTGTTACATAAGAGGTAGCAAGGTTAAATACTCTCATCAACAAAACACTACGATAGGGAAGATCATGTGCTGTACTTGGAGAATCGTTGTTGAATGATGCTCATAAATTCCATAAATTACAAAAAGTAAATCACTTTTTGCAAACTTTGAAAATTGACAATGGAGTTGTCATGGAGTGGACCCACAGCTCATAACTACATCACCTACATGTTAGTTTCACAGTAGTTATCAAATAAATAATAGTGGCTATAGAAAAAAATGTGTCCCTGAATATTAAGTGTCCAGTGTAACATTTGAATATTTAAATAAAAAAAATTAAAAAGTTGTTTGTCATTAAGATAAGTTCTTTATTCACATCATGTTACAATTATACACAAATAAATGAAAGATTTTTTTTCATTGTTATATACATTTTTTTCCAAGGTTGAAAAAATAAACAGGATACATGTAAACAAAGACAGTAATGTGACAGATGCAAATGAGCAAGGAAAACAAGATGTTTTAATATATTATTTTAAAATTTAAAATTGACAACAACAACAAAACAAAAAACCTTTTGGTAAGGAACCTTTTATCTCCAAAATGAATCCAATAACTTTAAATGAGAAGGAAAAAGTTCTACATGTTGAATGGAGGTTGGTTGAATATAATAGTTTTCTAAGTAATTTTGGACTTTTCTATCATCTTGAAATTCATCCAGAAATTTTTACACTTAAACATTTTTACAATTAAAACATACAAAAAAGAGATACGAGGTTTTGTTCCAACATTTAGCAGAAATTTTCAAGGTAAAAAGAGGTTTTGTCAGCATTCTGTCCAACCTTGCAACAGTTGCTACAAAAGAACTGTAAGTGAAGCGTTGATTGGTCAACTGTGATTGTGTTTTGAGGAGTACATGAAAACCTGTAGAAGGTCTTGAGCTGCAAGTGCTTCTGTTTTGATCTAGAGGAATAAATCTGTTGCAAAAGATTCATGTAGAGAACATAGAGCAGCTGGGGAGTTGGAAAGCGTGAAAACTCATCACAAATATTGATAGTGGTAGGCTCTGAGGATAGTGCACAAGTTTTGGCCCTTTCATGATCACAAGCTCAATCTCCTGTGATGACACAGCCATCTGTGTTCAGGAGCCCAAGTGAGCAAACTTGGCCTCGCTCTGCTGCATCGCTGTGCATGATGCTAGCCAGCACAGCTGTCTGTTAGCTGGCGTAACAGAACTGGCAGTTAGTGCTCTCCTCCAAGCATGTTGAGCTGTTCAATGATGTTTTGTTATTGGCAGGTCACAATAGATGTGGCTTCGCTCTCCCTGCTTGGTAACACCGTTTTATGATGGGAGACCTTTCTAGTCAGATTGTAAAAATAATACACAGTACTGTGTAAAAGGCTTAGGAACCTGAGAGATAGAGAGTTATTTTTCTTGGCAGTAAGTGTTTATTTGCTAATATTATGACGTACAAATAAAAATATTTCAATAAGTCATGATTTTATGTATGATTGTGTGTTTATTTAACCATTTCCAGACCACTCCTTGAGGAAATCTTGTATTCAGTGCTACCATGTAATACCCAGTTCATTAAATTAAATATATTGGCTGCGAAATCTGCAAACAAGCTTTTTTGTTCTAAATAGCTAACAAGATATCAGCTACTTTTTGGAAGCAAGAAATTCTTTTCACTTTTAACTTGTGTGTTAGCCTTTGTTCTAATGAGGTGTTGTTATGTAGTGTTTTTCAAAAACAAATTTAATGCCAAGACCTTTGTTCTACTGAACTGTCATAGAGTTCAAAGCACATTTCGGTCTTTTAACTGACCTGGACTAACTTCTTTTGCTTTGAGTGACCCTATAATTCAATTATTCA